ACATATGTAATTACCTCAACTTTTCAAATCTTTGTTCCTATACTATCATCTTACTTAGGATTTTATGGCATTCCTATTTAAATTAGCAACCCACCATCCGTGAATTCTTAATCTCCTTTACTTTATTTATTTTATTTCAATAGAATTAATTACCCCCTCATAGTTTATATTTAGGTTGACCAACCACTCTTGTATGTCTAAAACCTAGTGTTTCCCAGAATTCAGGACTTTTTAGTACTAAAACTGGAAAAGTTTCGAGCAAGCTGGGACAAGCTGGTTATCTTAATTTATGTTTGTAAGTCTGTTTATTACCACCACTCCAATAGTGTAAGAGGTTTATGAGGACAAAAATCCTTGTATTTTGTATGGCCCTCAATAAATACTAGCTGAGTGGATGGATAGGTGGATGAATAATGGGAAGGAGGGAAGTAAGAAATGAAAAAAAGCTAAATAAAACTGAGAACTAACATCAAACCAAAATTATATGAACATTTTCATGAGAATGAAGAACAACATTAATACATTTGCATAATTTTAAATTTAAACTAAATAGAGTTTATTTGTAAAGCTTTTTTATTTGTTTTTATACAACTAGATGTAAATTCCAGAGACCACTGGCTTCAGAGAAATTTGGGTTACCTTTTGATGATGTGGCACCCAACAACAAAAAGTAATGTATACTGGGTAATCAGAAACATGAGAAAAAGAAGGGGGAAAAATAACTTTGTGAATTGGTAATGTGTTGATTATCTTGATCTTGAGCTTTGCATAATGTATGTGTATATTGAATCATCACACCATTAAATATACACCATTATATTTGTCAATTATTTCTCAATAAAATTTAAAAAAGAAAAAAATTGCGACCAATGAGATCACTAGTCATGTGGGAAAGAATCACTTAGGAAAGTGGAAGTGAATCTATTGATATTATTTACTGGGTAACCATGCAATCGGGCTGTCTGGTTAGTGTGAGAAGTGGTACATGTCTGGAAGATGAAGAGATGTAATTCTAATTTCAATTCCCTAAAAGAAAAAGAAAAATTGGAGACCTAGAAATATATGTTGCTCCAATGCATGCATGAGGAAGGGAACAGAAGGGAAGGCTGACTTGAATAGAGTTGGACACTGTTATACACAAAAAGGATAGGAGAAAAAGAAGACACAAGAATGACATGATGCTTCTAGCCTTGTGCAGCAGAGTTTATCAAAAAAAACATTGGCATTGTCATCATCGGCAGTTCTTATTAAAAGGCGAATTTTTGGTAGCTAGACAAGTCTTACTGAATTAAAAGAACTGTAATTTAATTCAGTTTATCAGCATTTTAAACCTGATCTCTATATGATTCTTAAAATCTGAGAACTATAATTATAAATTCGTTTATTTCTTAATGGGGAATAATTTATAAATGCATTATCAAATGCAGACTACTGTTAGGTCTCTACGTGCCAAGGTAAATTGAGGAATAGCCCTGTATTTTCTTTACTTGTACTGTTGCTTTGGTTATTTAAAGTTAATTGTTTTTATTGTTTAAAATGTCAGAATTCCTTCATGTATTGTAACACAGATGTATCTGAACTAAATAATCTCAATAACTGGAGATGATTTGGATGTCCAAACTCTTTATTCAGTTTGCCAAACAACTAGTTAAATAATACAACTAATTAATTAATACAGTGGTTCCCAGAGACACTAATGGGAAAGTCAGCCTATATTGACAGACATCCTGAGCTCAGAGGGGAGCTTAGTGATGAGGACTCACTCACCTCCAGTTTTGTTATAGAGCTCACGACAGAGTTTCTCAGCCACACGCTGCAGAGTTTCTACAAGTTTCTTATTCTGGGTTTGGAGAGATTGCAGTTTTCGGGAGAGATTCCCCAATCTTTCTTCCTTTTCAGAAATACTATCTTGCTGACTATTGGAGAGCTGGTAGTACTGAAAAACTAACCCAAGTTACCAAGTCAGACTGGACAGCTTATTTCTTCATTTCTATTTTCTACATATAGGGAAGACAAAACAGTGTATTGTTTATGATCTCAGACTCGGAGATCTCATATTGCCTATATTCAAGTTTGGATGATAGTACATAACAAATTTATTTCTCTATTTCCCTGTCTGAAAATGCGAAGTCATAATAACAATCTCTAAATTCAGGAATAAATTCCTTAACCATATTTACTGCTCCATGAATATTTCTGTGTATATTCTCAAACCAGTACTCAACCTGAAGCCACATTTCAATTTATTCCTTGATTATTACATTGAGTATTTATAATGCATCACACATTATCTTATTCAGTCACTAAATTAGTCATATTATCATTTCTATATTTTTATAGATTTGTAATTGGGCTCAGTGAGAATAAATAACTTCTTTAATATTATTTGGCTAGAAAATTTCAACACTTAGATTTAAACTCCAGGTTTCTAAATCTAAGTAGAGAAATGTTCATGAATTATGAAAGTTGCTTTCTATCTTTAAAAAGAATGGTGGCTGAAAAACAATAGTTATATCAAAATGAAGTAAAATTTTTGAGGTCAGGATAGAACACTAAGAAATATAATTGTTTTAATTTTAACATTTTAAATTGCAAACAAAAGTTCTAAAATTTTCAATAATAATCAAATTTTTAATATTAAAACCTGCTTTTCTATGTAACCTTTCACCTGAACCACCTTCTTCTACTGTTTCAGAAGCATTGCTGTAGGGTCTCGATCTGATGAAGCAAGTTCACGCACTTCCTTTTTTACATTTCTGAACTTCTCCTTACTAGTCTGAAATTTAAAGACTTTTACACATGTGTTGTTTCCTTGTTTGATTTTCACAAGTTTTTCCAAAATAGTTCTATAACTTCCTGGATTTTTTGAAAAATATTATAGTGATTAAGGACCTGATCTGTCCTAGTATTGAGTAGGATGTAAATGAAATCTCTCCACATTAGCCTACTCAGCTAGTCATGCTAAGAGCAAAAAACACTGTCTCTACTCTTTTGTGAAATGGAAGAGAGCCAAAGCATGCATTCATTTAAAATTGTTAATTTTAAATATTAGCATATAAATAAACAGACAAAAATCTTCTTATCTCAAACAGAATATAAAAGTCTAGCTGGCAAATGATTACTGTATTTTAATGCTTCTTCCACTACTCATCATTTAAATAGGTACTTCAAGGCAGATTGAATTATGCACAGGCTCTAGAATTAAAGTTAAAAAAATATATATCCATAACAAGTATTTCTCATCCTGGACAAACCTTGGAACCAGGATCCTCCCCCAAGTCAGAGCACAGACTTACACACAAGCCCCAGGGCTGCCAGGCCAATCAGTAGCACCAGGCACAAGGTCAGCAGGGTCAGGGCGACTGGACGCCAAGCTGAAGAGGGAAGCTGGTGCTCTACAGAGAACAAAAGAACAGGCAGAGTTTTGCTTTTTTTCCCTATTAGATCTATGTCAGCAGCTAGCAAGTGAAAGGACTTTATGCTGGGAAAGAACATATTCTGCAGGATAACAGTAATCAGGGGCTAGATAACTTTCCTTCTGTCCTCAGAAACATTGTCATAAGGCTCCATGCCAAACCTCTCTTATCCCGTGACTAGATTCTTTCACCAGCCCCACCCATTTCTATTCCCCACACCCACCCAGTCCTACTTTGCACTGAATCAAGTTATGCATTACCATTATCTTTATATGGTTGTTTATACAACATTTTTTTGGTCAAAATTCATTGTACTCATGAAATGTCTTAAGAAGGAATAATTTTTCACATCGTTAGAGAAGAGATGAAATTAATTTCTTGTTACTTTTGCAAAACATCCTCCCCACCCAAGTTCTATATATGCTTCATCTAAAAAGCAAATTGCAAATCGATAAGATATGATCATTTTACTGCTTCTTTTGGGATTTCTTCATTGAAAATCCCTCTTTTATATTTTTTGTTCATTCATTTGAATTACATCTCATATAGATTATAATGAAACACAATCATCAATTTCTCGAGTGGATCCACGCTATTTCAATTTTGAGCCAATTAAGTAGTTAAAAAAAAAAAGCTGTACACAGTATCCCTTGTGCCCAACCCCCCCAAGCCCCGAGTTTGCCTTGTGGTAATTTTAGGGGCTCCACCTAGTGGAAAGCAAACCCATCACCTAGCGAGGTCAGCTATAAATCTAAATGACCTGAGATATCTGACAAGGAAGAACCCTAATCAGGTGCATGTAGCATCCAGCATTGTGATTAAAATGAAACAAAGGGAGAGAGAAACCTTCAAACAAACTGATCTCTTTATGATCTGTGAATTTTACTTCATTGGGAATTCAAATCAGGTTCAAAAACAGAAAGATTAAAGAATCTTAAATTCATGTCCTCTTTAGAAAAGTCTCTTACATAATATATTCTAGGTACAGAGATTTGTGCTAAATATTATTTCCAAATAAGGAATGATAAGTGGCAAAGATAGTATAGAAATAGGAAATATTATTACTATCCTATAGAACTTAAAATCTAGTAGGGAAAATAAGTAAAAATCATGGAGCAGACATCAATATATTTTAAAACGTGAATCTTATTTTGTGTTAATAGTCATCTCCTTTATAAAAACTTTTAATGTCTTATATTACAATTAGAATAAAATCCAAATCATTTTTCATAAAAACTCAAATTCTTCTTTTGAAAATCTAGAAATTTGATTATGATACTTTACAACTTAAATACTTCCAATAGCTTTATTGGAATAAAATTCTATGAAAGTATTTTTCATCTATACCCTACTTAATTCTTTCATCTCTTTCTGCACCACTCTGCTCTCACTTAAATGCTTTACTCACAGTGGCCTCTATTTACCCTTGGAACAAACAAGCTTGTCCCTGCCTTAGTACCTATTTCACTGGTCAAGATGGTGAAATAGGTAAATGCTGTGCTTGCCTCCTATCACGACCACACCAAAATTATAACTAAACTATAGAACAGCCATCATTGAAAATTGCCTGACATCTAGCTGAACAGAAGTCCTACACCTAAGAACATACAGGAGAAGCTACCTGGGGATGGATAGGAGGGGCGGAGACATAAAACTGGCTGGTCCCACAACCGCGTGTGCTGGTTAAAACGTGGGCAGGCTATCTCAGCTTTGGAGGTTTCCCTGGAGGAGTGAGGGTCCCAGCCCCACACCAAGCTTCTGAGCCTAGGATTCCAGTGCTGGGAAGAGAAGTTCTCACAACATCTGGCTATGAAAACCAGCAGAGATTGTGGCTGAGTGAGATAAAAGGTGCCTGGAATTTCTCTAAAAGGGCCCACACACAGACTTACTCACTAAGGGATTCGCTCTGAACTCTAGCACTGGGGCAGCTGCTTGAAAAGCATCAGGGACACACAGGAAGGAACTGAGTTGAATGGCTTCAGAGTGAGGGTTGAAGGGGCAGCTATCTCCCAGACAGAAGTGCTGGTAGAATCCACTATTCCTTTGTTGAGCCCTTTCTCCTCCCAGCATGGAGACACAGGCAGCTGCCATATCTGAGTCTCCACCAACCTGGCCAACACGGGTCACTCTGACCAGGTGATTTCCTGAGACCCTGCCCCTCCCAACTTGCAGTCCCTCCCAAGCACTTCCAGAGGCTTTTCCATACAAACAGCCTGTCTTGCCTTATGCTGCGGACTTTGCTGAAATCTCTCAAAGGTTCACAAAAACCAAGCAAGCAGCATCTGGCCTTGATGTGCCTGTACTTCTTGCTGCGCAGCTCCAAGCCCAGCACTAGCGGCAGCCAGCTTCGGTTCCCGACTTGGCCTCTCAGGGCACATCCAAGCCTAGCACAGGTGGCAGCCATCTGTGGATTGCTTGGTGGCTCATGCCAGGTGGCCCCAGGTAGGGCACAGGCTGCAGCTGAATTTGGTCTGTGGCAGGGATGCTCACAGGAGGCCCCAAGGCCGACAAGCTCAGTGTCCAGCTTTGGACTGAGCTGAAACATCACTTGGGGCTTCATCCAAGGACAAAACACCCAAAAGACAGAATGGGCAGGCACCAGAATTCTGCTAAACTGAATCCTGCTCTATAAGATCAGCCCTTCACTGTACAGTCCTCATAACTAATCAGCCCTAGAGTAATCCCTCCCATTGATGTGTAAATAGCAACCAAGGAGGGCACACGCAATCCATAAAAGGGATACATGTGGAGCACCCAGCTCAGGTGACCAGGGAAGACTGTACCCTGAGCCCCACAGCCCACCTACTATATAAGGCCATGCTGCTAAGACTGGGAAATATAGAAGCCCTTCCTAACACATAGGAACAAACACAGGGAGGTAGCAAAAATGGAGAGACAAAGAAACATGTCCCAAATGAAAAAAAACAGAACAAAACTCCAGAAAAAGAACTAAACAAAATGGAGACAAACAATCTACCAGATGCAGAGTTCAAACACTGGTTATAAGAATGCTCAATGAACATAAGGGAAGAGTAGATGAACTCAGTGACAATTTTAACAATGAGATAAAAACATTAAAAAAGAACCAATCAGAAATGGGGAATATAATAACTGAAATGAAGAATATATTGGAGGGAATCAATAGTAGATTAGAGAAAGTAGAAAACTGAGTTGGCATTTAGAATATAAAGTAGCAGCAAACACCCAATCAGAACAGCGACAGCAAAAAGAATCCAAAAAATGAGGATGCGATGGATTATTACTCAGCCATAAAAACGAATGAGATCTCGTCATGTGCAACAACATGGATGGGCCTAGAGGGCATTGTGCTGAGTGGAGTAAGTCAGACAGAGAAAGACAAATGCCATATTACTTCACTCACATATGAAATCTAAAGGACAAAATAAACAAATGAACAAAACAGAAACAGATTCATAGATACAGAGAACAAACTGCTGGTTGCCAGATGGGAGGGGGGGTTGGGGTATTGGTGAGAAAAGAGAAGGGATCAAGAATACAAGTTGATAGTTACAGTTACAAAATAGTCATTGGGATGTAAAGTATAGCATAAAGAATATAGTCAATAATATAATAACTATATATGGTATCAGATGGGTATGAGGCTTATTGGAGCAATCACTTTGTAAGTTATATAAGTGTCTAATTGCTATGTTGTACACCTGAAACTAATATAATATTGTATGCCAACTGGATTTGAAAAATAATTTTTTTTTTAAAGCAGTTATTTTATCTATCTTGTTCACTAGTATATTTCCAGTAGTGAAAATAGTGCCTGGCACATAGGGCTGAATACATATTTGAATAATTAAATAAATAAGGAATAAAATCATGAAAAATTAATATTACCTAAACTATATAATTTTTACAAAAGCACAGAAGATTAAAGTTAAAACTTACAGGATGACTTTTAAAAATCTATAGACTTCTGAGCAATATTTCTGTCAGCAGAGGGCAGACTCGGGTAAATTCCTCTCCTAGCCATACTGGTTTCTATACAGTGACATGTGAGATTCTAATTCATAAACAGATTTGGGAGAGATTCTATTTCCTTTGATTAGCTGGCTTACATTGTTTGGTGTAAATTTTCCTGGAAATTGCTAATTTCTCAAGGCATTGATTTAAAGAGTATCTCAGATCAAAAGAGCATAAAAGAATAAGTCTAACCATCCTCTCCACAATCCTGTCTTATAAAAGTTCTATATAGCCAAGAATATTAACCAGGTGGATGTTTCCAGATTTCAGAGACGCAAGTGCATATGTGGAGCGACTACTGTGGTGGCTTTAGTTTTTCCACACTCTTATTACCATCAGATATATTTCTTCTTTCTTTTGGTTTATATCTCTCTTACAGTAGAAAGCAAGTTCTTGGAAAAGATGATGAGAACACCAGCTGAAATAAGCCCAATTAATGTTAAATGAATGAATGAATGAGTGAATGTGTCTAGCATATATAAATTTCTCTGTTATATGCTCATCTACCCCTGCTCAAATCTATTTATTTTAACACACATGTAAAAGACATAATTTTTTTAAATGCTGTCTCTTTTGATGATTAACATTTTTTGGCTAAAATTAGAAGTAATAATAAGAAGATAAAAGAGAAGAAAAACTATGGAATCAACCAAATTATTTATTTCTTAAGAAACCTGTTTTCCTTTTGATAATATTGGGGGCAAAGAAAATGTGATTTTCTGTCCAAAGGATAAAAAAGAGTGAACTTAAATCCTTACTGCAAAGTGAGGTCATAAACTTTAGGGATTTGGACATTGTTTAATAATAATTACTTCCATTTAAAGAATGAATACACAACCTTCCTAAGGCTGCCTCTGGGACAGAATAAGAAAGAAGTGTAATATATCCTATGCTAAGAAAATACAATTTGAAAAATTAACTTTTAAGAAAT